ATTAAAGTTTTGCCCTCCACTGAAGTAGGATAACAGTAGGCCCACCAGCATACTCTTGTGTCTCTAATGTCCATGGAAATCCCAAACTAATCTGAGACTAATAGTTTATTAAAGACTAGCTCCACAGAAGTATGGTCCGACAACCTGAGGCTGTAATGAAGAATAACCTTTATGTTCTTAGCTTCTCAGTTTTACTGGACTTTATACTTTTTATAAAAAGTGATGTAGGTGGGCCTTCTGTTATGTGTTATTTTCATTGGTTAATAAAGAGACTGCCTTGGCCCTTTGATAGGACAGAAAATTAGGTAGGCGGAGTAAACAGAATAGAATGCTGGGAAGAGGGCTATGAGGAAAAGGCCATGGAGCCAGCCACCAGGTCAGACATGCTGAATCTTTCCCGGTAAGCCACACCTCGTGGTGCTGTACAGATTATTAGAAATGGGTTAATCAAGATGTGAGAGTTAGCCAGTAACTAACTCTCTAGAGATAATGGGCCAGGCAGTATTTAAATGAATACAACTTATGTGTTATTATTTCTGGGGCTAAGCTAGTCGTGTGGGAGCCATGTGGGATGAAAAGCAGGCCTGCCTGCAGCTCCTCACTACAAAAAAGTACATTTTGTCAGGTCATTTCCTTTGGATGTGTTCTATCCTCCATTTCTAGCCTTTACTGAGGATTGCTCTGAAATGTGGATCATAAATTCTTTTGCATGCTTCCATGTTTGATGTGGGATTCCCCTCTGTATGCTGTGAATACCATTGTTTAATAAAGAGACTGTCTTGAGCCTATAGCAGAACAGGACAGAACAGAGTTAGGTGGGAAAAATTAAACTGAATGCTGGGATAAGGAAGGCAGAAGCCATGGAACAGCCACTGAAGAAAAATGTGCTGAACTTTGCTGGTAGGCCACAACCTTGTGATGATGCACAGATTAATGGAGATGGGTTAAATTAATGTAAGAGCTAGCAAATAAGAAGCTAGAGCTAACGGCCAAGCATTAATTTAAATAATATAGTGTCTGTGTGATTATTTTGAAAGTCTGGGTGGCCAGGAAATGAACAAGCGGCCTTCATACTACACATGTTCTACATGGGACAGCTAAAAGAAAATTTCTACCATATAAAATGATATATTTATTTAGATTATTTGAAGGTGCTCAGTAGATGGTTTCACATTGCTAATATTTACTGAATGTCACAATACCATAGCACAAATCCATTAATTGGGCTGCCACTGGAAGTGTGATCAATGGACCTGTTTTGTGGAAGTAAAGTTTGCCTAAAAGGAACCATGTGAGAAAATTCTGATTTCTATAATACAAGTGAATTACTTTTCTTAACAATTTTCTTTTTATACATAAATATTGGTCTATTCATGCAACCATTTAGTAAGTATTAAATACATATCAGACTTTCCTCTGCTCTAATTTTAGGGTATTATCTTATTTCACCTGACTAGATGTTAGCAGACTTGCCCTTAAACATGATATAGTAAGAAAGAGAATACAGGTTACTTAATGATGACACACAGATATTTTATATTTTAGTAAGATTCTTAAGTTCTGCTGGGTGTTTCACAAAGTAAATGGAGTCATCAAGCTTGGATTTCATCAATCCTGTGTACTGACCACTGAAGATGAGATATCACCCTGTGAGTACTTAGTAGCCTGTGAGGATGCTGGCCCAGTCATCTCATTATTGCTACACATGGTATATATCCTGTGCCTAGCTGGTTATTATTTTATCAGTAATCAAAAATGAACAGTGGTAGGTGACTTTCATCCTCTATATAAGGATTTGATATTTATACTATCAAAGTACAACAACCTCTCTTCTCTTCCAATCACCTCTTCAGGTTCAATTTTCTCCAAACAAAAATATACAGACTTTAAAACATATCTTTTTACAGTATATAATGGAGACTTTTGCCTTCCCATTCTCTTCCTAATTTGTTTTGTGTGAGATACATTCTTATTTTCTTATGAAGGGTGACTATACCAAAATTCTGTATGCAATGCTTAAGTATTTCTGGTCAGTCCTTGAACAGACCTGACCACACATAACGTCCCAGACACAGCTTCCAAGTGCCATCAGAATGTACAACAACCTAACTACAAACATGAAAATTAAATATTGTAATTGCACTGGGAATTTTAGGAGGTGATGTCTTCATTTACTCTCAGTGCTGAGGTTATAAGTGCATACTTCTCACAGAATGGTCAAAGGCTATAAGTAGATCAGAAGTCCCCAGAGTCAAAGCTAACACTCCAGGCAATCTAAGAAAACATAGAGGAAAAAATCTGAGTCTATTTGATATGTAAACAATTCAGGTCTATGTGGTCAGGTTAACTTTTAAACGACACTATACTTAAGATCTAAATTTTCTTTCTGATACAGGAATAAACTCTGTGGTTGGTGAGCTGATAGTTGAAAAGTTAAAATTATGATTAGAACATTTAACATTTATATGCCAGTAAAAACAATTTACCAAATTACTTCTACTTTTTCAGAGGGGAGTATCAGATTATGTAACTATCCATTGTTGTGTCACAAAGTTTTGGTAAAAGAAATATCCAGATATGAGTATTGTTAGTTAGTATAAGTTCACATCTTAGACTAGAAAATATATTTACAATAATAAAATTTCCAATTACAAGAAATTGTTATTTCCTTCTATATTTTCGTATTCAGTTTAAAATGGCTCTATAGTATTCTATGACACTATTTTAATGTTATTGCTTTAAAAACTGAGCTGAAATGAAATTGTATATCTATATTTTAAATGTATTTTCCTATGTTAATGATAGTTATCATTTTTTCCCAAAAAGAATGTAAGTCATCTGTATGTTTTACTTTTTATCAGTATTTATTATTTCTGTTTTATTCACTGTGTTGTGATCACATTTGTTCCCCACCCCCAACTCCTTGCAGATCCCCCCTCCTTCCCTTCCCAAACAAACATGTACCTCTTATTTTAAAAATGCTAATTAAGTACAGTTTGTGTGGCCCATGCAGTCTTGATGTTCTTCCTTCCACTGGAGGATAGTCAGTAGCTATCAAATGACAATATCCTAGCTAAGAGGAGAAGTTTGCATTTACCTCTCCTACTCTATGCTGGGATTTTATTTAGATGGAGCTTCAACAGGCTTTGTGCATTCTCACAACCATTGTGAGTTTGCATGTGCAATTACCCTGACCCTTACTGGCTAGCTTCATAACGCTGGAATGTCATTCATGCTTGAAGAAGAGAAAAGCAGTTATCAGCCCTGCTCATCTGTAAATGCTGCCAGCTGCAAAGACCAGACTGGCAAGACACACCCACAAGTGTAATAGTGGTACAGATTTCTGGGAACTAACCAACTACTTTTTGATTGAACTTAAATATTGTTCCACATAATAAAACACAAATCTTGTACTATTATCAGGGACAAGAAAAGTGCTAGATATGAGAAAGGCCCTAGAGGAGAGCATACTATTGTCATTATTCTATTAATGGGTATGTTAGCAAGCTGACTCATACTGATTTTTTTATATCTATAAAATTCCAAATCCCCATTAGAAAAACTTATTTCTGCAGTATATGTAATTAACACAGAGATCCATAACTGGTCACTGTGCAGAGAGTAAGAGACTTGGGAATTCTCAGACTTAAATGGGCTCTCCTACCTTCCAAGGCTTAGGGGTCATTGCAGAAGAAGGGGTGGAATGATATTAAGAGAAATAGGCAGTGGATAACTACAGGCAATAACTAATTTCTTAAATGACATAATCATATAGCTATTTATGAAAATACTAACATGTGGGTCCAGTCTTGGCTCAGGTTCAGGTCCTGAGACAGGGAAGCACTGACTTCAAGGAAGAAATCTTACCAATAGGTGTACTGCACTCAAGTGGTCCTTAATAGCCATCTTTATATATTAGCACAGTTTTCTTTTTCCACCAAGGTTATATAAATAGTTTTACTATTGGCTCCTATTTTGTACTTTTACAAAATACATCTTATTTTAAGAAATATATCATAACCATTTATAAAAGTTCCCATTGTTTCCCTTTATGCTTCCCCAAATACAGTTATTCTCGACATAGAGTTCATCATTTTTGAAATCTTAACTAAATATTAAGTCAGATACTTCCTACTGTTGCAGCAACTTATGTCAGCTGGTAGCCACTTAGGCTTACAAAGTTTAAAAGTAATAGACATGGGTAAAATGCTTTAATGACAACAATATGCAAACCTAAACAATTCTTCATATCTGCAAGATCTGCTTTTATACAGTTCCCTTTGTTTACAAGAGAATTTCATGTGAATCTCTCTTTAAAAGGTAGACTTTGATAAGGCACTCTTTTGCCACCCTACAATACCATGCATTTTCCACCAATATAAGCTCCTGTGTATGGTAAATATGGATCTATACAATCTCTTGTGTATGGTACAGATGGTTCCATTCATCCCATATATTATATTGTGTTTTTCTCTGATGGGTCATACCAGATCCTATCATAGATTCTTTATGCTTCATGGCCAGGGACCTTACTCATGACAAGTGGCATTATGTGTGTTCCTAAGGCTTTTCTCTTAGGACAATTTAAAAGCAAGACTCGTTAATTTTAACTCCCTATATTGAGTCAGAAAAGTTCTCAGAATTGAGAGTTAATTATTCCAGATAAGAAATTTGAGAAGCTTTAGCTCCTGCTGATACATACTAAGAAGAAAATAATCTAGAAAGAACAGAATTTCCAGAGACAATTACAGCTGTTGCATGCATAATTGAAACTAAAAATCTCCAAAAAAAGATCAATAATATAATAAGAGAGAAAGAGTCTGCAAGCTGCATGAGTTCAACAATGTGATGCACTGCTCCTTGCCAAGTGAGAGACTATACCCATGGTGGTGCAGTAGGTCATTTTGTCCATGTGCAGCTTTCATTGGTTAATGAATAAAGAAACTGCCCTGGTCTGTTGATAGGGCAGAACCTTGGTAGGCAGGGAAGACGGAACTGAATTCTGGGAGAAAGAAAACAGAGTGAGAGAAATGGCATGGATCAGTCGCCAGAGTAAGACATGCTGCTGAAACTTAGCCGGTAAGTCACTGCCACATGGCAATACACAGGTTAATATAAATGGGGATAAATTAATATGTAAAAATTAACCAATAAGAAGATAGAACTAATGGGCCAAGCAGTGATTTAATTAATACAGTTTCTGTGTGTTTATTTCGGGGCTAAGCAAGCAGGGCAGCTGGACGAACAAGCAGGCCCTCCTCCTACACCATGGGACTTGCATTTTGGAGAGCCATTGGAAAGGCATCCAGATGCTGATCCTAGAATAGGCTACATGACTCCTGATTTCAACAGATTATATCTTATACAAGGCTTAGGAATGAATATTATCCTTTTCTGACAATACAGTCTCCATATAAAAATACTTTAGTATGAAATCAAAAGGCAAAAAAAAAAAGATTATACCTGTAAACTCACAAAGTGAAAGTCTGCTACTCAGTAACGGGTGGAGGAGGGTGAGGAGAGACTCTGCCCCAACAAATCAATCTGTCTCTGTTTTGTCATTTTTGCTCCTGGCCTATTCTGATCTTGTGGCATGATTCTAGTTACTAATCGCTTACTTTATCATCCTGTAACTAATTAAAGCTGTGACTAAACTGCTGAATAAACCAAAGTAACTACAGCTAAGAAATGGGCCTTCTCCTGCTTTCAGAGGTGGCCCACAGGAGCAATCAGGGACTGGCCCTTTGAATAGAAGGATCTTAAAATAAAATAGAGCAATTTACATAAGGCTGACTGTGTTTTGTGTGGATGACTCAAATGAATAGAGAACTTCCCAGACATTGGTAAACATATTAAATGATAATGAAAACCAAACTTGGCATAAATAAGATCTCAGGGTGATAAGCAATTTAAATTTTCTCTCAAAATAGAGGCACACAGACTATCTTAACAAAGCAGATAATTCTTTGTTTAGTTTGAGGTTAGAAAAAGGCAATCGGATCCTCTCAGAGGACATATAGTTCCAACTGAGATAAGATTTATAAATATAAATACTGAGTCAGAAAACTGCTTTCACTGAAGATTCACAACTTCTTGATAGTGACAGAACTCAAATTCAGACAGTCATTAAAAGGAAATCAATCATTCCATGTCACATACATGACAAACTTAGATCAGGAAAAGCAGATTTCGCCTGCAATGTGTCTTTAAATTGACTACCTTTGCTGGAGATGATATCAGTTATGTCAACAATTGTCCAACTTATTAATTTTTTTCTTTTTGTTTGCTTCAATTTTAGGCAATTTTTAATTCTATAGCCAAATTCTGAGCATTCATCATTCCATGAAACCAACTCTGAAGTTCAAGCATAGCCACTTTATATCAAATGAATCTTTATATCAAATCATTACTTTTCTCAAAGTGATAGATTATGTCCCAGATGCCTTCTCCCTATGGTTGGGTCCAAATTAATTGTTGCCAGAAAGTTGTATGATGGGGTTCTTGATTGTGTTTCCCATTATTTCTCTGTCTTTCTTTCTTATTGGACATTCTTAGTATGTTCATCAACAAGTTCAAATTTGGCTCTAATTTTATTTAGGGCATTTAATAGACAGAAATGAGAATCTCCAACAAAGCAGACACTGTAGTGTTAGTTCAATACAAGTAGTCCCTACCTCGAAATATTTGAAATGCAATAGGGTAATAGGCCAGTAAGGAAAGTACAAGTGAGATGAAAAATAAACAGATTTTACAAATACATATAGCAATGAGTCAAATAGAAATATATAGAAGAAAATTTCAACTATTGAATGAAAAGAACAGAAAAATATCTATTTTTAGTCATTTTCTGTGTTTATGATTATGTCTGTCCTAAACTTTACTTCTATCTACATTATATGAATTTTTATAAATATTATCTTTCAACACATTTATGATATATATAAAAAGTACCACTGCAATGTATAAGATTCTCTATCTTGAAAAATCACTAACTTTAGCTGCTTTTGCCTTTGATTTTGTTGTATATTCACCTCTTATATAACAATTCTAATGCCGACAAGCAATGATTTTTAAACATTTTTGCAATTAGAATCTGTCAGTTAAGGATGCATACTTGGCTGAGCATGCTCACATATATCATTATTATTGCTCCTAGTCCCAAACTCGGAGTTTTCTTATACAAGTGAATGTAGACTTGGAAATTCACTTTATCTTCAAAAGAGAGAGAAATATATTTCTATTATTAAAAACACAAGTTATTTGCTTTTTTAATATTATGAGATAAAAGCACAAACTTCCATTGCATTTTGAAACTGAAATGTATTAAAACACAAAATGTAAGAAGAAACACCAGACACAATTAAAGAGAAGTAGCCATTACCTACTGTTTTTATAGAATCAATAGGGCTGTGCTAGACATAGAGACAACTGCAAATTAAAAGACTGATATGTGTGTTGTGTTTAACTTTGGACAGATTAAAAAGAACAAAATAAATTTACAAGTTGAAGAACATATTTGGAAAATTCTGGAGTTTCTAAGAACATATTTCTCCATGCTGGTGTTTCTTTTTTGAGTGGAGGGCGCTCTACGCATGTGACACCCTCAACTTCTTTGAGCATAAAAAAAGCTCACCTACATGCTGGTGTATTTGCAAAGAATTCAGGGTGCATTTCTCAGCCCAGAGCCCTTTCTTTAGCCAGCAGAATCACACACAGAGATCTCTTGCTTTTCTCAATAGCTAAGCAGTCGCCAAGGTCACAGTGAGGGCTCAGGAAGTCTCAGATGATAAGAAGAGTTAAGCTGGACAGTAGCCTGCTGCTTGTCAAGGAACCTCATAAGGAAAAAAGCTATTTTTAACTTGGTCTTTGGAGATGGAAGGTATTCAAAGGGCGAACACATCTCAGCAAAGACTCTAGATCTACAAAAATCAGAAAAAAACAAAAACAAAAAACAAGGGCCACTGGTAGCATCAACCAAAAACACATAAGAGCATCAGAAAGAAGAAACTTCCAACAGTTGGTTTTGATTCATGCTAATTTTCATTTCAGGTGTGAGTATGTAGGGGGATCATGGTTTTTAAACTGAAAGACACCTGACTTGTGCATCTGCTGCGAATTTCTATCAGTCCTAGAGCTCTGAATTCTGAGAACCAGATGCAGCAGTTTCTGTTAGCGGAGCTCTTGTAACTTGTGCCTTACAGGATGCCCCACGCCTCCATCTGTGCTATAGGTAGTATCAGCACTTCTTTTGTGCCATGGCTGGGTGTAGTAACTGACTCAAATAAGATATATAAAATTGTAGGTTTTAAAAAGTCTGCAAAAAGGCAGGACCATTTGGAAATCCAAAGATGATAGATATTTGCACAAGGGCTGGCACACTGGATATAGCAAAAATTGGATGAGAAACAGGTAGAAATGACAAGATTTCTTCACGTGCTGGTCTGAGAAATAAAAAAGGCCTGTGAGGGCTATGAGAAGAAAAAAAGAGGAACCAATGCTTGTTTCAAAGTTTTAACATAAGTAACTGAAAAATTACAAAAGAATTCAGTGGCTAGGGAAGATGACATAGGGGATATTTGAAGTGAACAAAATCATTGATTTTGTTTGAGAAGTTAATTTTGATATGCCAATTGAATAATATAGTGTGTGTGTGTGTGTGTGTGTGTGTGTGTGTGTGTGTATAAAAAGACCATCAGCTTTTCATATGTTTACTGACACAGGACAGACTGTGAGGTCATGTGTCAAAGGAATGTGAGAGCTGAGATCCTAAGCTGAGGCAAGAATAACCTACTTCTCTAAAGGAGGGAACTTTGAGGAGCAATTTTCTAAATATTGTTGAAAACTGCAGTAAAGAATACAAACAGGTTTTAATTGTATGTTCTGATGGTATTAGCTTCACATCAAGGATTTTTAAGTAGGTAGAATGAACAGAGTCAGGGAAGCTTGAGTAAGAGCGAGGAGGCCAGCCTCTATTCAACACTTATACTGTGATGTTATGTAATGAAAACAGTATTTACTGAGCTTATGCTACCTGGAAACCAAAAAAGCATTGCCTAAATGAGGCTTTCCAAAACCCATCAGAGGAAGAGATCAGAAGACCTTGTGGTAAGCCAGAAATACCGGACCAAAATACTGCAAACAAAAACAAAGGAACAGAAAGAGCAGACTGGACCAGAAGTGTTGGCTTCACCTCTGTGTCTGCTATCTCTGCTTTGTTATAGCATCAGTGCTAATCCTAGGGAGGTGGCTGCCTTGGATAGTCAACTTGGCTAGATTTGAATCACCTAGGAAATGCATGTTTAGTTGTGCCTGTGGAGATGTTTTTAGACGAGTTTAATTAAGGGAAGAAGGTCTTTTTAGAAAGTTGGCAGCACTATCCCATAGGTTCAGGTGCCAGACTGAATAAAAAGATAGATAGATTAGATAGATAGACAGACAGGTAGATAGATAGACAGGTAGATAGATAGACAGGTAGATAGGTAGATAGATAGATAGATAGATAGGTAGGTAGGTAGGTAGGTAGGTAGGTAGATAGATAGATAGATAGATAGATAGATAGATAGATAGATAGATAG